TTTACATACCAAGAACTGCAATTATAATTTTATACGTAGACAAATCTCATTTTTTTTTACCAATGCCTTTATAAGATTCAGATATATTATTGACCATCAAGGTATAATACTGTATTGGTTAAAATGTATTTTTCATATACAGAGCATATCAGTATAAGCGTCAAAAAATCTATTTTGTACCAAAAATCGTCGTTTAAACTAAAAAATAGGAACAATTTGGATTCTTTAAGACTGTTATGATTCTGACACATTGATCAGTGAGGTATGATATCGGTTAAAATATATTTTTACATGCAGAGCATATTAGTTATAATTTAAATGTCAACATATCTATATTTTTTAACAAAAAAAATCATATTTTTAGCCTAAAAATGACCAAAAATTGGGGGGTAGGGGGTTTAAACCCTTATGTCAGGATTCTGACATGTTATCGACCAGTGCGGTATACTTTTTATTAGAATATATTTTTACATGCAAACGCATATCAGGTATAGTTTAATGTAAACAAAAATCTATATTTTTTCCAAAATATAATGTTGTTAGCCCAAAAAAAGTGCCAACAAATTGAGTTTTTTCGGTTTCAGAGACTTCCTTGAAAAGCATGTTGATAAAAATATTTCATTCTTATATGCTTATTGTGAAAAAAGATTGACCATATATATTCTAAGCCTGTTTGTACAAGTAGGCCTTGTACTACAATAGCCAAAAATACTAAAATATTAAAGCCCCATTCCCGGCAAAATTTCACTAAAAACTGACTTTTTTTAGAAAATATTCATTTGCATTACTCCAATTATTATAAATCATGGAAAAATATTGGCATGAATTTTAGTTTTACGCAAAAGAATAAAAAAAAAATAGAAATACAGACTATTTCTCATAAAATATTACCATTTTCTGGACGAATTCATCGTTACTAGGCAAAAGGTTGTAGATCGCATCCACTGGAATACTCTCGCTTTTATGTATACTTTTATTATACAGTCGGTAAAGTGCGCCCTCTCTAATGAGATTAGTTTTTGTACTTCCTATCTCGCACAATGCGGTCGTTAGATTAAGGCTGAGATATGTTTGTTTAAGTGTCAAAATCTCAGTCAGAATCAGATTTTTAACAAATTTGAAATAATTCCTATGAAATATTATATTTCACAAGTGTCGGCCGTTTTTATGTGTGATAACAGAACCTAAATCGAGGTAAGGCTAGGGGCCTAGGCCTAGCCTAGCAGCGCTAGATAGGCTAATGTTTTCGGCGCCTACGATATTTCTTCTCACAACCTATCGCAAAATCAAAATGAAAAATTCATCCGCATTTATTTTTTGTGTGGAACACAAAAAAATCAAATTTCAGTCTTATTTTACATTTTTTTCATTCTTAGGAATATCTAAATTCAGTTAAACTAGCAATTCCGTATTATATTTATAAATCTTTATAACATTATACAAAAATTAGATTTTTCTTAAAAACTGAAATTTTGCCGGGAATGGGGCTTTAAAAACCATTTTTCCCCAAAAATTCTATTTTTACACCAAAAATTATATTTTTTATCCCAACATTTTTTTTTTTTTTTTTGGCTCTAGAGATTTTTCGAAATGGTATGCCCATACTAATATCTTTACCAAATTTGGCACTTTTGTTATCCAGGTAATCCAATTATTAGCCTATGCACAAGGTTAAAATCTAGATTAATACAAAAGCGACTTTTTCGTTCAAAAAATCTGTTATTTTCCTTATATTTTTTCATCTTTATTTGCCTATTTCTGACTAAATAATGATCATATTGATTCTAAACCTATTTGTACAGGTAGGGCTTGCACTATAGCAGTAAAAAATACCAAAATATTGAAAACTGTATTTTTGCCCAAAAACGCGATTTTTTAACCCCAAAAATAAGATTTTATTTTTGGCTCCCAGAGATTTTCTTGAAAAGCATGTTGATAAAAGTATCTCCAGCAAAAAATTAAAGTTTTGTCATCCATGTCACGATTCTTCCATATTTTGACGTTAAGGCACTCTACTAGTGCCAGAAGTGTTATTGACGGTTTGATCCCATCTTTATCAAAAATACCCGATACATTTAGACACCTATGGCTTCTAATTTTCAATTACCTTCCAAAAAGTGACAGAGTAGATATTGTCTGTGATCAATATCATGCAAATCCATTGAGCGAAGATGAAGGAGAATGGGAGTTGAGGTTTTACTAAAAGAAGGAGCTTTGCAGAGAACGCCATCAGACTTCAAAAACTTCCTATCGATTAATAAGAAGAAACAGCTATGCGATATGATAATCAGAGAGTGGCAAACAGATGTATGTTACCAAAATCAAGGGAAGATTGATTATTGTCACACACCATGAAACATGTTACAAGTTTAAGTGTGATGGACAAAACATAATAAAAGATATTAGAGAACTGTTCAGTAATCAGGTAAGGTGGATATTCATTCTTTCCTATAGTAATATACTGTACTAATCTGGTCTAGTCACACGGATTAAGACTAGAATATCTTTTTATATTTTTACAGGAATAGGCCGACAACCATATGCGCCCCCATGTTAGAAAGTCAGCACAGGAAAACAAAACTGTTATGTCAGATCTCCTGATACTGATGTATTTTTATTGTTGCTGGAATTGTAGGCATAGATATCAGCCTCCTGCCTCCTTGGAAATCCACTTTACAATTTCACATAAAACGGTGCATCTTCCAAACAGCAATATGGCAATGATCGCTGAAGCAATATCATCCATTATCAGAACCTACCCTACATGGATCAATTCAAGGAGAAGATTGTCTAGATTTCCAATTGACACACCAGGAGATGATGCCGGGGACGCCGACATGCTAGAGGCACCAATTATTAGAGCCACGAAGATGATCATTTTTTTTATTCTGATTCTGATGTTGAAGATAATTAAGAGTATTCCTGATGTTAACTGTTCCAAAACTGAACAGCAGCACAGTTCTTCAAAAATAAAAGCATATTTCTGGTTTTTGTCGTTTAATCAAAATCTGTAGTGTGACCTTTAACCTTACAGTAATGGCATTTTTTTTAAAGGTAAAGCCTGTCCATCATATTTATTCTCTGTATACATAGATCAAACCATTTATTTTTCTATTTGTATTCCTAAACAAATGTACTGGACTTGCTGGTGTCATGAAATGAGTGTTGGTTAGTGTGTAAATTGCATAGATTTGCATGTCCTTTGTGATGCAGGTGCAGTGAAGGTTAGTATGAAATTGTGTAGCTTGGCATGCTCCAGTGGTTGAATTGAATGCTCTAGAGAGGGGAGTTGGTGGTTTGGTAGGTTGGAGTGAGGTGGTCTTCCTAGCTACGTCTAAGGAGCTTGATGCTAAAGCTTAAACGTTGGTGTTCGAATGTATGCAAGTGGCCAAGTCTTTTGTTAAGTACTGGATAAACCAAGGTGGTACACCACAAGTTGTGGAACAACTGCTATTGCCGGAACTGAAAGTACCAAAAATATTTGGACCATTTATCAAGCCAGGCTGTGGAACACTTGTTTTAGTCAAGTGAATTGGTAAATGCTTTGCTATCGGATTGCAATCGGAAAAACAAAACTAGGTAGAATAATAAACTTTATTTTGTAGGATAGTGTGCAGGCCAAGACCGATACAGAGAACAAGAATGTTTGAACACTAACTGTATTGCACGTGTGATAGAAACGAACATTGATAACTAACATAACTGAATATGCAGAACATTGAATATTACGACATATCGATACATGTTAAATTAGAATGTTAGGGGTGTTGAATTGTTACTTATGACCACAACTGGAATGTCATGGTTATGGTTAGTGGACATATAAATTAATTAGTAAACCAATGGAATTGTAGCCTATATGATTGTGGGTTTCAATGGCAAAACACCAGCAAGAGAGAAAGGGTGTTGGATTCCATGATGGAAATGCACTGTGCGTTAATTGTGGAAGTCAATGGGGTGTCATGATGTTACGTTAGGGGAGCATTTGTAGTTAAGTTTATAGAATAATGCAAGTTATCGATAACACAACTGTGATTTTGGTGGTTTTGGCAATGTGACTTTAGTTAAGTAGGAATGGTTATATGAATATATTTCTGCTGAGTAATTTAATGGTTGTTGGTTTAATTTAATGCTTCAAAGCTGACCTATCCTCACAGCTGGCAATCATTAGTTCTTTGATACCAAAATATCCTTAAATGTCAAATACTGTATATGGAAAATGTCCATTTTTGCATAATATGGCAGGTAAAATTTTTTTATAGAATAATTTACTCAAAATTAAGATATATATTACATTTATCTGTGTTGTTCAGTTTTGTTTTTTAATGCATGAGTAATAAAATGGCTGTAGATAAAGCATTATTTGAATATTTGTTTTAGTTTGACCTTACACTGCATCAACGGATACATAATGAAATGTCAAAGTTAATTGAAGCATTTTGGAAAAACATTTCCTACATTTTGGTGTCAAATATATTAATATTTGTACATTGTACTAGAAGATTTGAAGTTATAACCAATCCATACCCCCAAAATATCCCACATTAAAATAGCATAATTTAGCGATATAGGTTTACTAGTACTGGCAACCAGAAATTGCTTGACTAACAAGGTGGTTCGTGAAGCTTATACATATAGGTAACTGAAAAAAATAATGACAGGTATAAAGCAGGGGATGCAAGAGGCTGTTCGGAGCCCCTTGACTATAACATGCACAAAGTGTTGCCAATTGCCCCACAATACATATTGCACTATTATATATATGCAACCCCAAAGGAGACTTTACAAGAGCATTCAGAAGAAAAGGCATGGAGAAACAGATGAAGGGATTCTAGTGGAAGGCGATGATGACATCGACAGTTGTGACCTCAGAAATCAATAAAAGAACAATATATGAACTAGAACGAGAGAAGCTCGCAAGGGTTGTTTCCAGGAATGTCTGGTCAAACATGGTTTTTCGGTATTCTTTAAAATAGACACTGGTTCTGAAATTAATACAATTTTATCTGAACTTATGTCTTTTAATGATTGAAAGGATTTGCTGGCCAAATTCAAAGCTATATGCATGCTAATATGAATGTTGAGCAGGTGCTAACACTCTAATTTAGAGAGGGACCGTGTTTATCCATATTTATAATAGCTTTAATTTCTTTCAGTTTGTTTAAGTGTAGTACCCGAAGGAAATGACGAGACATTTTATTTAGTGGGGGACTGAGTTATGGACTAAAAATAGATGAGTAATTTAGAGAGCCTCTAAAATTTAAATTATTCTAATATATAAGCCCATCACAACAAGATTGGAGTATTCAGGGAATAGTGCAGATGCTACTGCACATCATGCTCTTCTTACAGCAGACTGATGCAACTTGAGTTTATTTCAGTAGTAGTCTGCCCTTTGGAAGCTTCCATTTCTGCAATCCATCTACATTCTTTGTCATACATAGGTCATTGAGCAGCAAAATATACTGTACACCACACCCACCTGCAGATCTACCAATGTCTAGCCTCTATAACAATTTTCTATACTGAACGCTATCAATTCAAACCCACAATCTACATTCCTCCTAGCGAGAGCCATCTATTATTAGCATACCTCAGATATAAATATTGTTGCTTTTGTGTACCTGAATTGTAAATCTGTGAATCTATAAAACATAATAAAATCAGAGTCAGATACATATTCATAGAATCAATTTGGCAAAAAACAAAGGGATTAGTTCAGCTAGGTCTATCATCCATAATATAGCTGTATGGCTTGCTATCACCATCACCAACTTTACACTTTATTTCAACTTCCAAAAATCTGTAAAACAAAAAAAAACAAAAAACAAAAAAGAATGACAAAAAATGTGTCATTTTGTAAGCAACATTGTGAAAGAGATTGTGGAAGGTATGTTAAAAGAGTACACAGCTTGATATGGATTAACCATATTGAAATGTTTGTGTTTATGTTATATATACATATTTATCAAATGTATAAATTACAACATATAAAATTCTTGTTCCACAGATTTATTGGTTGGTTTGAATTGATTTATTGGTTGATTAATCATTTTTTTTTTATAAAAAAGGAAAAAGTATTTTTAAGCATTCGAAAGTGTATAATTGTCATGTAAGTGTGCACTTTTGATATCAATAATAAATTAAAAATAATTTGGACAACTTGGTGCACTTTGTTATAAACTATTCCCATTTAAGAGAATATAGAGGATGTCAACATTGGCATTTTGCATAAGAATTCGGAATAAAAAGTATACAAAGAATTGTATATCACTACCTATTCACTTCTTTATTTGGTGAAAGTATTACTGTTCCTTGTATCGTTGTGTCTTGTTGTACATCTTCTGCCTCATTTAAGTAGACCACACACTGCCGCCAATGGGTTGGGCTGAAACATTAAAATTTATCATGTTTTTTTTTTAAATACCATCAATAGAGCACAAAATGTTTCAGGAACAAGATAATGAAAGCCATTTAAAAGATGCTTGTGTCGTCACTGTACTGTACTGTAGGCCTATATTGCATATAAAGACAGTTTGATCACAATTTGTTTACTGAAAAATTATGTTCTTCAATACAACCAACTTCAGGCTTGTAATTACATTAAATCTTGGGAAATTCAATTTTAATTGAGGTAAATATTATAATCATAATTATAATCATAATCAATGTAAAATTTGTTTGTGTTACCACTCTAAAGTTGGTGAATCCTGATAAGAAACAAGCAGCCATAAAAAGTCCATAAGATTGTGAACACAAGAGCAATCAGGGTTACTGAATAACACATGTAACAGGCCAATAGAAAATGAATTAGGGTGTAATTACAAAGGCTAAAGGCAAATATGAATGAGATATATCCTAGAATTAAGGCTTATATCAAAATCGCACTGGACTTTTTCTAGAAAAACAAACCAGAGTATCAGCAATTAGTTCAGTGCAAATTACCTCTCATGAAAACTTATTGAGACAAGTAGTTTAACTGAGTGGATTGTGTCCACTAAAACTGACCAGGTTAGTTTTACCGAGCCTAAAGGTCACTTGTGAATACGCGTCTCGAGCGTTACTCAATTGACATGTGATGGATTAGCACCCTCAATAGTTTATTTTCACAGCTTAATCAGTTTTACTATTTCTCGCAGTAAAACTTATTGTCTAAAAAAATCAAATGCGGACAGTGGCAGATCTACCCATTGGAATATTACCCATGGTCTCAGTAAAATTCTTTTCCTTTTTAAAGTCCAGTGCGATTGCAGCTTTAAAGATTTATATTAGAACCTTACTGTTTATAAGGTGATGTTGACAGCTCAATTAAACCTTTATTAGCACAGTCAAACTGAACAGTAAACCAGGCAACAAAACCATTAAGTGTTGTCTCTCCAATTGCTTTAAACATGAACTTCCCTTTAACATGCTCCAGATCTTTTTGGGTTATTCTACTTAAGTCCAACTCTATAACTTTTTCCGCAAAACCTATCAAGCTTTTTGGTGGAAAGACTTCAACATGAACACTTCCTTCAAGAATCAAAGAAACAAATAAAAAAAAATGTCTAGTATTAATACAAACACACAAACAAATAATGAAAGTTTTGTTTTAAATGTTTTCATTGGTTTAAAGAAAATGGTAGACCACATATTTTTCAAAAGTAGAGACCAAATTTAAGGAAATAGGATCCTAGCAGGAGCGTGTGTCTATGCCCTATACATACTGCCTTACTGTATTATTGGTCCGCGCTGACCCAGAGCCTCACTGCACACATGAACCAGAAAGGATTTGCAACAAACGTTTATCGCCCTTTTCTTAAGTTTGCCCTACACTTATAAAAACAAGAGTTTCAAACATTTAAAGCGTCGCAAGTTCAAATCACGTATATTTATCAAGTTTGAATCACATATTTTCATGTTCATATAAAAAAGAAAATTAACATCGAGGCGCGATTCGGACTCGCGACCTTTGGTTTCTTATTACACGTTGTTAATCGACTGCACCAACAATCTATACTGTATAGTAATTATTGGCAATAAAACCTTTGCTGAAAACCCAATATAACTACTTATAGAAATGGAAATATTAGATCTCTTCAAAACAAGATGGATGAACTTCAAGCTAATGTGAGATACATACACAATTTTCATGATAGCAGTTTGCTTTGTTTTACAGAGACATGGTTGCATGACAGGATACCAGATAGCCCTATTTCAATAGATAGCTTTGATTGTGTTAGAGGAGACAGGACAAT